ACAACATCTTGTAATCTAGTGATCTTGTTACTTGCTCCATATACATGTTTCACTTGATACATCTCATCATGGTAACCTATGGATCGACTAGTGCCTGTTTGCACTTGTCTACTTGCGTCAAACTCATCAATAAGTTCTTTCCTAATTACAGTTTTAAGGGTTCTTTTTGACAGACCCAAATTGTATTCAACGGTGTCTTTGTTAGACGCGAGTTTGGCGAGGGCATCAACTCTGTCATGTTTTATGAGGCCTATGTGAGAGGGGATCCACAACAGTTTGACCCTGACACCCCGGTCAACAAGGCACGCATATTTGTGTCTGGCTTCAGAGACAAGAGCGTGACAACCTGAGTCGAGGGTACCAAGGGCAAGTAGTGAGGATAGAGAGTCAGTGATGATGAGACTGTCAGTAACAGTGGTTTCAATGAATTTAATAGCTGTGAGTATGGCAACTAATTCAGTTTGTAGAGTGGATGCCCAGTTGTTAATTCTAACTCCTTTCTCAATTATATTACCGTCAGGTTGAGTCACAACAATAGCACTTCCAGCCCTCCCACAGGCGGTGTTTAGAGATCCATCAGTGTAGATGGTCTGTGTGATATTATCATCAGTCTGTAGAGTGTGTATGTGTTCAAGAGCTCTCAATTTGGCAGTGTGTTGGAGATAAATGCTTTGTATAATTAATTTTTTAGGCGGATACGTCGGTATTGTGATATCGAAGGGAACTGTCCGCCAGGGTGGCAGGAAGCGCTGTTGTGTCTCAACTTTGTACAGGTGGTCTAGTCCAAATATCTTCATATGTGTAGCTGTAGTTTGGATCCATTTAGACTCAGTAGTCCCATGGTTCATACATTCTAGCAATTTTAAGGAAACAATGTTATCAGGATCACCACGCAGAAGCCTCAGGGCTATCATGAGGTTGACTTCAATTATTCTATCTTTAACACTGGGTATACCTAGTTCTTTCCTCATATTAAGTACTTTAGTGCTCATGGGACATCCTAGGATAATTCTGAGGGCTTTATTTTGCATTTTCTCGAGCTTGTCAACGCCTTTCCCGTCACGAATGACCAGGGCTGGTGCGTGGTAATCTATCAGAGATCTTATATAGCCTAGGTACATTGTTTTAACAATTCTAATATTAGCACCATAGTGCGGGCTGTACCCCGCTACACTTCTAAGAGGTCTCAGTCTGTCAGTACATTGGCGGGTTAGCTGTTGTATGGCAGGTAGGGTACAAGGGACGGAAACACCAAGATATTTAAAAGAAGAAACATAGTCAATAGTGTTGTTACCTATCTTGAACTTGGCGGGGCCGCGTTTGCGGTTACCAGCTTGTTTGTTGAACACCTTAGTTTTGTCAGTGGAGATAATAAGACCGAGGTGTTCACAGGCTGCGTATACATGGTTCAGGGTGGTTTGCATTTCACGATGAGTTTTAGTATGTATAAGAATATCATCAGCATAGCTGATTGAGATATTGCTGGGGTTGTCTGGTATTAAATTTAATAATGCATTCATAAGAACATTGAACAAAGTGGGGCTAAGTACTCCACCTTGAGGGGTACCAAGTTGCATATCTTTAACTTCACTTTTGTAACCCTGAAACAGTGCAGCAGCCCTTCTGTTGGTTAGGTAACCACTTATCCAGTGTAACAGCCTACCTCCTATATCCATTTTGGCTAGTTCATACAATATCAGTTGCCTATTGGCAATATCAAATGTAGCTTTTAGGTCAAGAAATGTGGTGTATCTGTGCCTTTCATCACCATGCACAGTTAGGAATGTGGTGATGCAATTATGTACACCTTTACCATGGGTGAAGACATTTATGTTAGGAGACATGTGTTCTCTGATTCTATATAAGAGTCTGCCAAGAACCATCCTCTCAAAGGTTTTACACAGGCAGCTGGTTAGTGATATGGGACGAAAGGCATCAGGCTGTCCTGGTTTCGGTATTGGTACAACAATACTGCTGGTCCATGATGTGGGTAGTTGGCCCTCGGCATGACTCATATTGCAAAATATCAATAATGGATTGCCCGGCACACGCCTTAGTAGTCTAACGATGTTGTAGGTGACTCCGTCCTCTCCAGGGGAAGTAAACCTACTCGTGACGAGGGCGGCGTCAAGCTCCCACCCAGTATATGGAACATCACACTCATCGTGCTGTTTGCCCAGCATAAAGTTAATAAGATTACTTCTCTCTACAGACTTGCATCAAGGAGTCCTCGAGTCCTAGCTGGTAACCTGTCATAGCTAGACACATGACCCCACTTTGTTATTAGCTCATTCGACTTTTGCAGAGGGTTTGGATGGGAGACGTGTCTACTGTTTTTACCTCTGATTATGTTTATGTCTTTCCAGGCTTTGCTGAGGGATGTATGTTGGTTCAGGCTGTTGACATATGTGTCCCATGTATTTTGTGTGAGTTCGTTTAAACGTTTCCTGACAGCAGCAAGGGAAGCTTGATACAATATTACCATTTGAGGTGTTCTAATTTGTTTGTAGCACTTACCCAACCTCCTGACCCTAGCCCTGAGTTTTTTCAGCTCAGGGTCATTATAGCACAGCTGCTGCCTGTTCCCATAATGCTGACCACGTTTTCTCCTTTTTTTGGTGGAGTCATTGTT